TCGGGGGTGAGGTCCTGGGCTGTGGGTGTCAGAGCCAGTGGAGGAGCTGATGTGGGCCGCAGGGCAACCTCTCCTGGGCTGTGGTTCCCTTGCCCCATCCCAGCCCTGTGTGGCCGCCAGACCCCAGGGCACAACGGCTGAGCCTTCAGCCTGGGGAGGGTCCTGGAGGGTGACCTGTCTCCGTCCCCACGCCCAGGCCCTACTTCGAAGGGCTGTCACACTCCAGCTCGCAGACGGAAATCGGGAGCGTCCACAGCGTCCGGAGCCACAAGGAGCCCCCGAGTCCGGTGAGCGGGCTGGACGTGGCAGTGCCCACCCTGGATGGGAGCGCAGACCGCGGGTGGGCCTTCCAGGGTTTCCCGTCTCTGATCCCTCAGGGTGTTGCTTACACACCAGTGTCAGACCAGCCCAGAGCTAACCGTGCTCTTGGGTCTGCGTGTGGCTGGAATCTCCCTGCCTGATGCCAGGTCACTGTCACGGGGTGACCTGAGCCTTCAGTCTAAGGAAGCCCTGGCCAGTCTTCCCAGGCTGCCCCCCAATCCCAGATCCCCCTGCCTGGAGGTGAGCCAGCCTCCGTGCCCATCATTAAATATGCCCTGATTCCCATCTGGTCCACACAGGCTGATGTGCCCGAGAAGACCCGGGCCCTGGGAGGCAAGCAGCCGAGCGACAGCGTCTCTGACACGGTGCCCCACGTGAGCAGGCCCAGAGCACGTTCGTTTGTGCAAGCACAGAGCCCACTAACACACTGTCTTTAGGGGTCTGAGCCCGCAGGGCAGGGCTTGACACTCAGGTCCTTACCTTATACCCTAGGGTGTGGTCAGGGCCCCCTGGATTCACCCCCACCCTGGGGGATGGCCAGGGTTCCCCTGGATTCACCCCTACCCTGGGGGATGGCCAGGGTTCCCCTGGATTCACCCCCACCCTGGGGGATGGTCAGGGATCCCCTGGATTTTACCCCCTCCCTGGGGGATGGGTTAGGGTTCCCCTGGATTCACCCCCACCCCAGGGGATGGTCAGGGCCCCCTGGAATCACCCCCGCCCCGGGGGATGGTCAGGGCCCCCTGGATTCACCTCCACCCCGGGGGATGGTCGGGGCTCCCCTGGATTCACCCCCACACTGGGTGATGGTTAGGGTTCCCCTGGGTTCACCCCCACCCTGGGGGATGCTCAGGGATCCCCTGGATTCACCCCCATCTCAGGGGACTTTCAGGACTCTCCTGGATTTATCCCCAGGCAGAGGATCAGTCAGGGTTCCCCTGATTTGCTTCGATCCTGGGTGACAATCAGGGCCCCCTGGATTCACCTCTACCCTCAGGGCACGGTCAGGACCCCCCGGATCACTGGGGACAGTGGGTGTCCCCCTGCTTTGCTGTCAGCATAGACACTGTGAATGCTGGGTTCTGGCCCCTGTTCTCTCATGGAGGTTCTCAAGGAAGATGTCTGGGACCAGAGGGCAGGTTTTAGGGAGATTTGGAGGAGGTTTGGTGCCGGTCTCCCCAGCAGCTGAGACCAGGAGCCCTGTGGTTGGATGTGGGGGTCAGCTCGGCTCCCCAGGCCAGCACATCCATACCATGTGCAGAAAGTTGCGAACCCAAAAAAGGCCCAGACACCCCCACCCAAACCAGGGACTTGCCGGGTGTGAGGCCGGCCCTCGGGAGGCCCCCACAGGGTGCGCATTCCCAACGAGCCTCCTTCTCTGCACATCAGAGCACCCCCGCCCCTGGGGAGCAGCCTGCACAGCCGGAGGACAGCCCGGAGGTGGAGACCTCCGCCCTGGACATGTTCACCGAGAAGCTGCCGCCCAGTGGGCGGATCACCAAGACAGAGTCCCTCGTCATCCCCTCCACCAGGTGACAGCATGCCCTGGGGAGGCTGTTGGCCGGGCATTGCCCACGTGGGCCGGTGTGGTGGGCAGGGCCCCGTCTGACCAGATGAGAGTCACTTAGAAGCACAGAGATCTCGGCCCACCTGGGGGTCCACAGTGGACCCCTTGCACCCTGTCTGCAGCCAGCAGGCCTGCTGGGGCTGAGGTGTGGTTCCTGTGGCCGTCTCACATTTTCCGCCACCTGTACCTTATGGACCTGTGTGACACCAGATGCCGGTGTGGGAGGGGGTGCCCAGTGCCGTCAAGGTCAGGAGCCCCCAGACAGTGGCTCCAGGTCCAACACTGGAGCCCC